AGTCTTAATGGGGCTATAACTGATTTTTACTGATTTAAAGGGCCCATATTATGCTAATTTGCTATTTTTTATTTTCTGTTATAATGTTGTTTCCTCATCACAAACCTGAGATTGTGTTTTGTTTCATTCACACATGTTTAACACAATAATCCTGCATATTTAGGCCAAGTTCTTCTCTCAAACTGAACACACTTTGTTTCATTTTAAGATGTCATCTGGTAATACAGAAGTGCTTCATTGCGTTTCTAAACTCCATGCAACTTCACTGGAATCATTTGGATCATTTCAGCTCTGGAACTGCCAGTCTCTACTGAACTAAAGGTAAAGGCCTATTCATATGATGTCACTTTGTTTGGCCAGCTCTTGTTCGGCAGTTCTTGTGGCTTGTTCTCGATACCTCAACTGAGCAGAACTTTGTTTGGCAGTTCGGCAGCGCTGTTCACCATCTTCACTCTGATTGATTATTTATGTGGTTTATCTGCTTCCTTGCCGATGCAGAGCAAGAAAAAAAAAGGGATGGTTTTGAGTCACAGCTGGTGGAAATCGTGAGAAAATACAATATAGGACACGACGCTTAGTGACTATAAAGATGCCAAACGGCAAGAAATTCATAGAGGGAGATCGCTGACATTCTAGGCTCAGATGAAAATCAGTGTAGGAAAGTCTGGCGTAATATCTGTGACAAGTTTGCGAAGGCCAAAAGGCGGGGTTACTAAAAAAAAGAAATAAATAAAAAATAGCGGTCAGGCTGGAGGACAAAAAGAAAGAACCTCGCTATAAACCTCCCTGCAGTGGCTGGACTTCTTCATCAACCACAGGGAAATGTCCACAATATGACTCCTGTTCCAAGTATGAAATGTCAGAGCCCAAACTAATTTTGTTCTTGTTCTTATCTCCTCAAGAACAAGAGTAAAGTTCTTATGTTCTTATGAAGTATGAATAGGCCTTAAAAGGTAGCTGTTTGCTTGAAAACTACCACTTCAGGACATGACGAACGAAGCAAAACACAATTCCACATATGTTTTTAATGAGGTAACAAGATTATAACATGTTTTAAAGCTCAGAAGAATTGATTTTGTGCACTGTACAACCTTTAAATTAAAATTCACAAAAACTACATAAACCTCAGCATGCCCACAGCTCCACCCGTTGGCCTAATCTGGCACCAAAGAGGTCCACAGCTGATTAGGGGACACTTGCACGGCCCATTTCTCTTCTCACTGTTTAACGCTCGGCTCCTGCAGAATCCCCATCAAATATTCACCAGCTCTTACTGCGCTAACATTTAAACACCTAACGCTAGCAGAGATGGAGCAGAGATGGAGCAGTCAGAGCAGCAGCAGCAGAAGCTATAGGTGGGGGTTGGGCTAGTTAAAACCGGACAAGCGTAATCCACTGCCATGCGAATCAAGACACCATTTCGGGCTATCCCTCCTGACTTCCTCCTTCTTTACGACTGCAACCTTAATGTATGAAGCTTTTGTAGAATGTTTTTTAGCTCGAGGCAAAGAATGCCACATTTAGAACCAAGCATACAAGGTGGTGAGTCTCCTTGGGGCCAAAATAATCTATTTTTAGCTTTGAAGCTAGCTGCAAAAAAATGTGCAAGTGGTTCAAGATGTTCAAAGGACTGTGAATGTCTATGTAAGATTGTGATTTTAAATTTGGGTTGCCAGTTCCAATGCAGAAATCCAGTCAGTTTGAACCTCAAAGGGCTCTCTCTGATCTGAGTCCTCACTACCTAAACTCCAGCACCAGCAGCCAGGTATTAACCAGTGCTAGTGCAGCCTCTGAGTGAATCAACTGTGCACATAAGTGAATCTTGGCACTTTCACACTGCTAGTTTGATTATTTGGCAATAAAACTGTAATTGTGTAGTATATAGACTTCAGTGTGGTCTGCTTTCACACCTGCAAACCAACCAAAATTGGTCCGATTGACGTCTATCCAAGGCTCCTGTGCACAGTGGGTTCGACTGCACGTGGCTCAGGGACGCTGAGGTTCTCCCACATGCCAGACCTCTCGGAAGCAGGGCTGAGATGCACCTTCTAACCCAGGGAGCCCGCGGGGTACGGACTGCACAGGCCAGTCTCTATCCCCCCTGCTCCCCAGGCCAAAGGAGCTCGGATTCGCAAACCTACAGATCACTGGTCCAGACTCAATCTGGGCTCCTGTCACACCTCTTAACTGGGGCACGCACTCTATTTGGGAAGGTGGAATTTGGGTTTCCGAGCCTGTCCTCCCATGATGCATTTGGAATAGTTCGCTTGGACCTACTGTCTATGGTTTAGCCCCGAGTTAGCGTTCTCACTAAGGGGACTGCACCAGAGTTTGGCATTTGGTGCAGAGTCAAGCGAACTGAGGCTACCTCTTTTTTGAGGTCTCCGTTCAAGGGATTTAGTGCGAATTAGAGTGCGATTGATGCTTTTACACCAACGAAAACAAACCAAACTAAGAGCTTTTTTTTTTTAAATGGAAAGATTGGTGGGATGTGTGAAAAAACCCTAAAAGTGTGTGACATCACCCATAGCGTTCTGCTCCAGCCAAATAAAGCTCACAGAGGCTGGCAGTTATGGGGTGAATTTGGAACCGAGTTTCAAATTAGGAACAGGAATTGATTTATGGACAAAATAGAGAAATAAAAACACCAGGATCATGTAGAGCAGGTCATTATGGACATTTTAAGACTAAAATGATGAGCCTGAAAGCAGCAGTTACAGAGAGAGGGGTGACGTTTTCTCAATAGAAAGTGGGTTGGAGACAGAGTTGATGGAGCCCAACCATGCTCATATCTTATTTGGAAGTCAGCAGCTACAGTCTATAGTAGGGATAAGTATCTTTTTTGTTTTAAATAGTTAAAGCTTGGGGTGTGATGAGAGACAGTTTTCACAAGACAAAACAAGACATGAGATTATGTCCACAAGATAAAACGAGAAATTTTAAAAATGTGTGATCCTGTTGGCAGTTTTGGTCTAACATTTTTTTTTGTTTTTTAATATTTTTATTGCAACTGTAGACCTGAAACCACAACTTCGTAAGAGATGTACAGTAATTTACAAACCCTTAAGTCTTTTTTGTCCAATCTAAATAGAAACTAAATGGAAAAAACTCTCGTGAGCAAATTTTTCTCATGTGCGCACAATCTTGTAGCAATTTTATCTCATGAGATCTTGTGAAACGAGATCTTGTCCCATCCCTCGGAAAAGCAGAGGCTATGTACAGTTCCTTTTAGAGCATAGACATCCAAAATCAAGGTCTAATCCAGATTATAATAAATACAATGTTGAGATTTGATTATCTTGGTGTTAAAGGGTTGAATTCGGGACATGTAGGTGTTAGAATAATGGTCGAACAAAACTGCACTGCTTTGGAGCTGGCTTCTCCTCAGGCTTCCCTCTGGATTGTAAAAGTGTGTCACAGATGAGATGAATATAGAATATGAATAAGGAGGAGGAGGAGAAAGACGGCATGTTGGAAATAGGACACGCAAGCGGCAATAGAGGGCCATAATTTAGGACTTTAGGCGTGTGTCATACCCATTTCATTTGTGAATTTCCAGCTTTATAATGCACCTAAAATTAATGACATACTTTGGGATAGTGTGAAAGTGCATTCATGGGAAACTAGACATGTGAAATTTTAAGATGGGATAAATGTAATAATCATAATGTAATGGCAGTGCAGCAGACTGAAATTGCGCCTAACAGTATAAATGGATAATGGTACAATTTCTACTGCTGAAACCTTATTACAAGTTGAGGATTAAAAGACAAGCAGAATTGACTAAGCAGTCACCAGATCAAAACTGGGGGACTGGGACTAAATCCAGAACTAAAACAGGACTATATCAAAAAACACATTAGGACTTAAAGCTACAATGTTACGCAAATCTAACTCTTTTGAGCTTTATGCTCTGTTAGAATGTTGTTATCTCATCAAAAATATACCTGGAGTTGTGTTTTGTTTCATTCACATGTTTCAGTGTGACTCTTTATCACAACAGATGTACGCGCAGGTCCGGACAGGAAGTAATTAAATAGTAAAGCAATTAGAAAGTTATTAAAAGTTCAAATCAATTATAAAGTCACTCAAATCAGTAGCACCCTGTCACACTGACCTTGGTGCGGTGCGGGTGCAGGTGCAGGTGTGGGTGTAGGTACGGCACGGACATGTGGACAATTTTTTTGCTGGATACCACAGCAGTCTCTGATGTCAAAATGCCAAAACCCCATGAACAAAACAGGAAATTCAGACACGCAGAACTGACAGATCCGGTGTATTTTCAGAATAAAATATCCCTGCATCCCTCCTGGTACTTCGCAAATGTACTTACCTATTGTAGACAGTATTAAAAAGCACGAGAAAGTGGTCGTAGTGTGAAATGCCACTGTTGTTTACCAACAAGGCTTCTTGTACATTCTAATCATGGATTTACTGATGCTAATCTATTGCTATCTATCGAAGTTCTGACCAAGGGGTGCAGTTTCCACACTCACAGCCCACCACGACCGCACAGCAGCAGAGATCACAGACTGGGGAAAACAAGTCGTAGTAAAAATCGCACCAAGTCCGAACTGCACAAGCAGTCACTGTACATCAATGTTGTTTGTTTGAGAGATGAACTGTGAATGAAATAAAACACAACTCCAGGTTTGTTTGTGATGAGGAAACGACGTAACATAGATCAGAAAATAACAGAATATGGGCCCTTTAAACTGGCTCTAAGCAGGACCAAAACCAAGGCAAATGTGAATGCACTCTTAAAAGCTGTGGTCCCAAACTTTTTTTTTCCCCATTAACTGTATCATACCGCTTGACTTCACCACCTGAAAAAGAAATTCTAAAGCTGTACTAGTGCTTGACAAATTCATGTTAAACCTAATGATGTGTGATGTTTGTGAGAGTTAGGATCAAATTAGGGATGTCACTTACAACTACCTTCTCTTCTCTTTCATGTAACAAAAACAGAGTAGCCCAGCTTTAAAGGCTTTGATCCTTACCTCTCCATAGTCTGTGGTGAGTACCAGGGTCCCATCCCCACAGGAGTTGACTGTGGCAGGAACCAGCTGCTCCTTCTCCCGCACCCACACACGGGCCCCCTGCACACACAACAAAGGACAGTTAAGCATTAGTGATTAGTATTTAGTATTTTAGGAGTTTTACAATCTACTATCCATCTTTGCCAATACATTTTAAGTGGCTGTTTCCATGTATTTGAAGAAAATGTGCCAGATATATTGTATAAGCAGCTCTCGAGGTCATAATAAGTCTGCTATGTGTACTGTCTGCATCTAATCATAAAGGATTTTATTGTCAAGTTTATAATAAGGAAGTTCAAAGACTCAGAAAGTTCAAAGTAAGCGTGGTAGTTGCTTGTTAAAATAGGGTGACTAGATTCACAAAATTCAAAACTGGGACACACCTGGGTTTGGATGGTTGGTATAAATAAAACTGTGAAAAGAGAGCATAACGTTGTCCATTTTCGCCTCACTTGTGGGTCAGTATATAATGTGAGGCACTTCTATTGGTGCATTTTTTTTTTGCCCTGTGGTCATTTTCAAGCACAGTTTTATGTATTTTAGCTTAATAACTTACAATATATTGCCCTTTTTACTATTTACTCATATCAGATTCATCAAAACAGGGACACCTGGGACATTTCTTTTGTAAAACTGGGACAAATCGCTGGTTTTGGATAAATCTGGGACTTTTGGGGGTAAATGGGACGTCGGGTCACCCTATGTTACCATGCTAGTTGTTGTTAGCATGTTAGTTGCTTGTTGTTGTTAGTTTTTTTATTTTTATTCAATATGTTCAAATACAGGAACAACAAAGTCACACAAAATCACTTAAATGTGCAGTCAATTACACAAGAGAGCAAAAAAACTAAACAAAAAACAAGACAAGACCATAAATCAAGTATACGTCACCAAATAAAATAAAAAAAAATTGTAGCATAAAATGTGGGGGAGATTGATACTGTTATAAGTATTTCCTATAGATATTGTATGTTAATAGCTTTTTTTGTTTTTGACCTGTTTATTGTTTGGAAATACTGTTGTATTTTGTTATTATAATGGTGAGGATCTGATTTATTTTGAGTCCATTTTGTTTTGTGTATATATTTGGCCAGCATGATCAGAGTTAGCATGCTAGTTGTTGTTAGCATGTCAGTTTCTTGTTTGTTTTTGTTTGTTTCAATAAGTTCAAATAAAGGGACATCAAAGACACATAAATAACACATATGGTACCTGGAGTAATGTGCAGTCAATTACACAAAAGAGCAAAAAAAAAAAAAAAAAAAAAAAAAGTGAAAAAGTGAAAAAAGAATGATACTGGTATGTTTTAATAGTCTTGTTGTTTTATTGTTTGGAAAGATTGTTGTATTTTGTTATTATAATGTAACCAATTTGGTTTATTTTGAGTCCATTTTGTTTTGTGTATATAATATTTGGGCAGCATGATCAGAGTTAGCATGCTAGTTGTTGTCAGCATGTTAATCGCTTGGGGTTTTTGTTTGTTTGTTTGTTTGTTTGTTTGTTTGTTTCAATAGGTTCAAATACAGGGACATCAAAGATACACAAAATCACATCAATAACACATATGGTACCTGGAGTAATGTGCAGTCAATTACACAAGAGAGCAAAAAAAAAAAAAAAAAAGGTGAAAAAAGAGTGATGCTGTTATGTTTTAATAGGTTTTGTTTTTGTTTTTGACCTGTTTTATTGTTTGGAAATATTGTTGTATTTCGTTATTATAATGGTGACCATTTGCTTTATTTTGAGTGTATTTTGAGTATTTTTTGTGTATGATATTTGGCCAGCATGGTAAGAATTAACATGCTAGTTGTTGTTAGTATATTAGTTGTTGTTCGCATTATTGTGACGGCAAAACTCTGCTCCAGCTGCGGAAAGTTACGGAAAGAGCCTGACTATGAATAATTAGGATGATTGAAATGCGTTCCACATTCTTCTTTTCCACTCTGTTTTTCCATAAAAAATTCTCCATCTTGACCAAGCAACTACAAGATGACTAAAGACAGTGATCTACGCATTGCAATATCTTCCACACTATCCAGTAAATTGATTATCTATGCTTTATTGATTCTCCGATATTTATGAGGTGAGTGAAAGCACCAGTCACACTTTAATTTAATAAACAACTGTAACATGTGTAACATCTGTGGCCTCCATCACTGTGTCCAGAGAGAGGAAATGTACTCTCCTCGGACCTCTCCATCCACACAAAGACTTCATTCACAAAGTCAGCGACCTCTGACCTCCAAACATCCCGAAAGAAGCAGAGCCGAACTGAAGGGCAGTAAGAGGACAGAAGAGAGGGAGCAAGGAGAGCTACTGTTTTTGGAGTACGGCCATTTTGATGACAATGTACAGAGCTAGAAATGAACCGATCTAGCATTTACTGTTCTGATACAGATTTTGATTCAGCTTTAAATTACAGTTTTAAATATTTCCATAAAGGTCCTAGAGTAAGCAAAATTTACTTTTGTGAGCTTTAAGTCATGTTAGTATGTTGTTACTTAATCAAAAACATACCTAGAGTTGTGTTTTGTTTCTTTCACACATGTTTGAGTAATCCTTTTTTATTGGTCTGTCTATATCTCCAAAGCTCAAAATGCTCTGTTCCACCTTGTGATGTCATGAAGCGGTAGTTTTCAAGTTACCTTTTACCTTTTAGTAAAGATTGTCAATTCCAGGGCTGGAATTATCCATATGTTTCTAGTGAAGGTGTATATAGTTTTTCTGTTTGAGAGAAGAACTCAGCCCACACTGGATATTTATGCAGTGTGTGCATTTGTTTGCTAAACGTGTAAATGAATGAATCACAACTTCAGGATTGTTTGTGATGAGGAAACAATATTGTAACAGAGATCAGAAAATACAGTAATATGTTTTTTTTTTAGACTAGATTAGATTCAACTTTATTGTCATTACGCATGTATAAATACAAGGTAACGAAATGTGGTTTGGTTGTGCAAGGAGAAGTGCAAGGAGCAGCAAGTGCGATATACACAGAATGTAGAGTATATAGAATATAGACAATATACATTATATTACAATATACAGTATATTACAGTGTAGATTGTAGTGAATATATACAAATAAATTTGGCACTATGAACACAAAACTAATCCAAATGTTATTAAAACACAAAACTAATCAAAATGTTTTATGTAGCTGATATTTATCCTTCAAGTGACTACAGAACTTTGTGTAAATAAAAGTTCAAACATTATGAGATTTTCTGGGCAAATTACCACCAGTCTTATTACATCAGTTTGTATGTCCAACCAGGATATTAGCTGAACCGATATTTGGAACCCGATACGATATCCAATATATCCAGTATCCGATAATGGGTCGATGCATCCCAAAGCCAAGGAAAAACCTCCAGCCAGTTACAATTTGGCAACGAAATGACACCCAAGGCAAAAAGGGTTAGTGCTAAAGAAATATTGCCTCAAGATTATTGGATTCAAAGCGTTCAGCAAACACCATACATAATAAATGACACATATGATGAATAATTTACCCATGATTGTCCAAAGTTGTGTTATGACAAAAGCATATTGGTAACTGTATTGGTTCAGTCAGAGCATGGAGCAAGGTTGGTGGTACAATTTTGAGTTACTGCTTGTGTTCTTGGGCAAGACACTTCATTGGACATCTCCAATTTTGAGTCCATTGTTGTCAGGAACAGTAAGCAACATTCTTCAAATCTGCACCACACTGAAAAAAGCTGTACTGTGCAAAGCAAGTTATGCTCAGAGAACTTTCTGAATGTAAATCCACTTTAATTATCACATTTTACAAACAAAACAGTTTCCCAAATGCTGCACAGAGAACATAAAATGAAGACAACAAAAAGGTAAAAATCAAAAAAAGACAAATCATGACCAATGACTTGACTTGACTTGTGCAACTTTTTAAATTTTACTACTCAAATTTGACTCTTGTTAGACTGTTCATTTAAAAACAAACCACAGTTGTGTTTTGTTTCGTTCACACATGTTTGAGTCTACATGCAGTCTTTGTCTACATACAAAATGCTCTGTTCCACCTTGTGATGTCATGAAGTGATAGTTTTCAAGATAACGACTCCTTTAGTTACTTTTAGTTCAGTAGAGATTTGCAATTCCAGGGCTGAAATTATCCAAATGATTGTAGTGAAAGTATATGGAGTTTAAAAACAGTGGAATGGAGCACTTCCTGTATTAGCAGGTGACATCACAAGGTGGAACAGAGTGTATTCTATTTGAGAGAAGGAATGGTGTATCAAACATGTATGAATGAAACACAACACAACTCTTGAATATGTTTTTGATAAAGAAACATTATAACAGATCATGGCATAAAAGAGTATGAACCCTTTAAATTTGCCATCCAGCTAAATTTAATATAGTATCTTACAAATATTTCCTTCAAGTGTTTGTCTATAGTAGCAAGCATGTTATGGAAGATAATTTGTTTCATCAGATTTTGAATTTTAAATGCTGTTGAATTTCTCACTTTGAATTTTTAAACTCTGAAAAAACATGTTTGAATTATTTTTATTATGAACTTTAGTTACTGAAAATTTAAGTGTACATTTTCAAAGTGTTTATTATTCAGCACAAATATTTTCAAGCCTTCAAATTCAACTGTCAAAATTCAGAGTGTAAAATTCGCAAAAAAATTCACAGGAAAGATCCAAGATGTTAAGGTCTAAGCAATCGATCCGATCTAACTTAGTAAGAAACAGGAAATGTTGCAGTGACGGTGATCTGATCAGTCAGAATTAGCCTCATCGAAACCTCATCTCTTTGATTTCTTAATGTAACCCCGCCCACAGATGAGAACAGCCAATAGGAAACAGCCTCTGTCCTTCTCACTCACACATGATTGATCGCTTCTGCCTTGGCATCTTGGATCTTTAATACCTAATTTTTCACTGCGAATTTTACACTCTGAATTTCGACTGTTGAATTTGAGGGCTTGAAAATATCTGTGGTGATTTTTTTATTTATTTTGAATTTAAAACATAGTACACACAAGTAAACTTCAGATTTCAGCAACTAAAATTCAGAATAAAAATAATT